TAGAGGGTGTATTAAAGCCTTGGGCACTCAAACATTTTGACCGCAGACCTCGGACATTCCAACAAGACTCAGCACGCGCCACCCAAGAATGGTTACAATGGCCACCATCATCTCTGGTTACCGATCCGTTGGACTATTGTGTCTGGAGTATTTTGGAAAGCAAGGTTGGCACTAAAAAATACCAAAGTGTCGATCACCTCAAGCAAGCCCTTCGCCAGGAATGGAATGCAACATTAGGACAGCGCGTGACGGTTTCATTGGCAGTTTGAAGGTCATAATTCGTGCCAAAGGTGACCAATTCGTACAAATTTAAACTTATTCTAAAATTTTCAATAAAATTAAAAAATTTTAAAACTATGGCATTTGACTTTGTTGCAATTTTTTATATCACATGTATTTATAGTAAGTTCGTAAATTATCATCAAATTAGTTAATTGCTGCTAATGGCTGTTATCCGGGTCCATTTCAAAATTTCATAAAGAAAGGATCGGTCCAAGGATTTTAACTAAAAAAAAAATTATGTTTCTTTGATTGATAATTCCGAAATTTTTGCTTTCATTCAATAAAATGTAAAAAAATGTAAAAATTATGGCATTTGACTTTGTTGAAAACTTTTATATCACCATGTATTTATAGTAAGTTCGTAAATTATCTTCAAATTTGTTAATTTCGGCTAATGGCTGTTATCCGGGTCCATTTCAAAATTTCATAAAGCAAGAATCGGTCCAAGGATTTTAACAAAAAAAAATTATGTTTCTTTGATTGATAGATCGTGAAGAAATCTAGATACACAAAAATGTCTATATAAAGTCCAAATTATTTATTTAAATACAAATATTTTGTGGCGAATGGATCGGATAATCCATCAATCACAATAAATGTAACGTATGTTTCCCATAGTCAAATTGGTTGTGATTGGCTATTTATCACGGTTAAACAATCTTACTTTGTTAACATACTTTATATAAAAATAAAAAGTAGTAAAATGAATATTAAAGATAAAGATAACTTCACCAATGCAATTACATTATAAAGATTTTTAAATGTTGAATTTCAAGTGGGTCCCTAAGTAACATTTATTTATATTCCAAAAATTTATTAATTTAGGTTTTAATTCATATATGTTCTTATTTTTATAATACAATGCGTGCTACAATTAGAAGCTAAAAAAACATATGTTTTGAAGTCGAATACTTCTTGAGAAATATTAAAATTAAATTTATAGACAAACTAGTGTTGGTATTTATAATTGCAATTATTTTTTTATTTAATACATGTATATACACCACACACAATCAGTTTTAGATATATTTACATTGTTAGTTTTTAAATAAATAAGACAATAACTGAAAATTAAAAATATGATGTAAATTGAGCAAGCATAAATGGAATTAAATTCCATAACTATTTTGATACCCTCTCTCCATAGGACTAGAAGTAAGTTACCTTCCTGTAGTCGGAAGATATAGAAGATAAACCAGGGTAGATGTTCTGGTGGTAATCCTTTTATATAAACAGAAAAAAACGTAAATGTCTTAAAAGTTCCATAGAGAATTGACTAAATGGACCTTTCCAAAATTGGTCTTCTTCTAGCCACTAAATAGTAACGGTGAAACGCCTCGCATACTGGTTGGATGGTTGCGACTTCATTAATAGCTCAACTCAAAGGTAAGAGAGCCCGCTTTGTTTTTATTTCATAACTGCGTCAAATAACAAGGGAGAAGCCGTACGCCGTCCAATTGCTTTGAATTGTACTGTCAATACTGACAGGCATATACGAAGACGAAATTTTTTTTGCATAGACTGTAATACCCATTACCAACTTCGAATACGAAATTTGAAACAATTCCGCTGGATAATGTTGCGAATGTCATCAAAATATCGGATGAAGGGAGGTACCGTTACGATACGGGCTATACGATATCATGGACCAATATAGATAACTCTCTTCCAGGGGATAAAGTACTCACAAGGAACTCCTTGTGTGGATTTTCATACAATTCCGTCGAAAAATGTGGCAAAAATCATCAAAATACAGAATATCGGGAGATTCCGTTCTATGGGGTATATACGACATCGTGGACTTATATAGGCAATTCCCTTCCGGAGGGTCGAGTACTTATATAGAGAACACCTTGTGTAGAATTTAAGTCAATGTCATTGAAAAATGTGGCTAAAATCATCGAAATGCCGAATATCGGGGGTACCGTTATATGGGGGCTGTACGATATCGTTTACCGATATAGATAATTCTTTTCCAGGGGATAAAAAACTCACAAGGAACTCCTTGTGTGGATTTTCAGACAATTCCGTTGACAGACAATTCAAAATACGGAATATCGGGAGGTACCGTTATATGAGGGCCATACTTGACCTGCATGCAGACAAAACACAGATATGTGCAAAATTTCTTAATTCGTTTTGAATGAAGCGTGATTACAACAGACAGCCAGACGGACATCGCTAAATCGCCTTAGAATTTTATGTTGATCAAAAATATATATATATATATACTTTGTAGAAAAACAGCAGGAGTAAGGTACAAATTGCCAACAATGCTCTCCATCATGTTTGGCCGAATAACCCATTAAAAAATATGCTAATGTCAGCAAGTTGAAAAAATAAGGGTTTAAAAAAACTTTGCAAAGGAACTCTCCTTTCTCGCTACCAAGTAAAAAGTAACGTCGTCAAAGAGTGTGTGCATCAGACTACGAGGTTGTGAGTTCGAGACTCGGAGTCGGCAAACGAAGAAAGGCATATTAATACACGATGGCTTATTGAAGAGAATTTGGGTCAAATGAAAATTACTAATTTCTCGATCGTCATTGGCCACAGAATAACTAATTATTTCAGGTGGCATGTCAAAAATTGATTTGGAAGAAACCCATTATTAGGCAATGAACATTTGGGTAGATTTGTTTGCAGCCGTGAATCGAGAAAATCATACAGAGTGAGATGAAAAAACTGCAACCAACTTCAGGCTGCTGTCATTTCTAAGCCACTCGCCCGAGAGCTGTTAAAATTATTCCAGTGACAGCTCATTAAATCTTTTGTGTCTGGTACCATCGGTCGTTGCCGATACTGGTAGCGTAGCCCGACGTCAAGGGAGTGGACGGAAGAAAACAGCAACATCAGCAAAAATGGTTCGAAAAATAACAAGCGACTTGATCGAAACCCGCGTCGCAGTGGCCGAAAAATGGCTCGTGAGCTGAACATATCGCAATTTGGCAAATATTGAAAAATGAGCTCGGCCATTGAGCCATTGCAATTCCAAAAAGTGCAAAAACTTACACCGCAACTGAAAGAAAATAGACTCAAAAGAGCTAAAGAGTTGCTTCGCTTAGGCGAAAGTGTTAAATTGCTGAATTTGGTTTTCTCCGATGGGAAAACATTTGTTGTCTAGCAGTTTGTAAACAAACAAAATGTTCGTGTTTACTTGCCAAAGAGGTCAGCTGAAAATGTGCACCTTCGGTTGGCCACCAGAACCCACCCAAGCGCCGGCCATGATGATTGTGTGGTCGCTCTCCGCTCGTATTAATTGACCGTGGCATCAGAATAAATACCGAATATCTTATATCGTGAAAATATTTTAAAGCATTGGGCATGCAAACATTTTGGCCGCAGACCTTGGACATTCCAACAGAACTTAGCACCATCGCCATCTCAGCACGCGCCATCCAAAAATGGTTACAAAATAAGATTTCTCGCTTCATTTCCAGCGAACAATGGCCCCCAAAATATCCGGATACCAATCCGTTGGGCTATTGTGTCTGGAGTATTTTGGAAAGCAAGGTTGGCACTAAAAAATACCAAAATGTCGATCACCTCAAGCAAGCGCTTCGTCTGGAATGGGCAAAAATTCCGTAGAGCAACATTCTGGCAGCGTGTGACGGTTTCATTAACCGTTTGAAGGCCATAATTTGTGCCAAAAGTGACCAATTCGAACAAATCTAAACTTATCTAAAATTTGATGCTATTTCCGACATTTTTTGCTTTCATTCAATAAAATTTAAAAAAAAGTAAAAATTATGGCGTTTGAATTTGTTGCAGTTGTGAATTTTTAGGGATTATGCAATTTTATTATCGCTAATTTTTTAGATATTTAAGAAATATTTTTGAAAAGATATATTCAACGTTTTTGAATGTATATATTTATGGATTTTAGGTATTTTTGAAGGGTTATTATAGTTTTTAAGGAATATTTCCGTAACTATTCTCTTGGATTTTTTTTTAGTTTGGAAAATAAATCCATTAATTTTTCGAATAGATAGAAAACAATTTTGTGGTTTTAAGGGCTTGGTCCAGAGCCAAATTCATGGATCTTTAAAGAAAGTTATTTTAAAGGCCTGCCAGAGTTATTTTGCAAAGAATATTTTTTAAATTTTGTGGGTTTTAAGGGTTTGGTTCAGAGCCAAATTCATGGATCCTTAAAGAAAGAAATTTTGAAGGCTTGTCAGAGTTATTCTGCAAAGAATATTTTGAAGGACTAATCGCAGCAATGATCTCGTTTTTTAAGGGTCATGTTTTGAAGTCTTGTCAGTGCTATTTTCGTGAATTTATTAGGGAATATAATTTGAAGCATTTTTTGCTTTCATTCAATAAAATTTAAAAAAAAATGTATAAAAATTATGGTGTTTGACTTTGTTGCAGTTTTTTTATATCACCCTGTAAATCTACAAATATAACTTGATTATGATTTCGTTAGTTGATCGCGTTCAAACAAACAGGAAACATAACCCGCATAGAAATTTTACCAGATATTTAGATGAGAAAACTGAAAAACATCGTCCAATAAACATTTAAAACCCATGACAAAAAAAAACATTCCCAGCTTCTTGTCAATAACAAGCCGATAAGAAAGAAAGGGGAAGAGCTTTGGCCTTTCACAGCAGCATTCCCTTGTCATACCACTTCATTACTTGTTGCTTTCATTGCGAATGGGGGGCAAACACATTCAATTTCAAACCTAATGTTAAGAAATACTCAAAAGACAAGGGTAATTTGTTTGTTTTTATATATTATTTTATTTGTTTTTTAAAGTTTCAATTTCAATATTGTTGTGTTTTTTTAATTATTATTATTTTATTGTTTATTTGTATATAATTAAAACCATATTAACTTTAGACTTGCTCAGAGAGATAGTGGGAGAGAGAGAAAGAGAAAAAAATTAATAATAAACAAAACTCACACAAATTTTCAAAAGAAAAATAATAAAGAAATAACGAAAATAAAATCAATAATAATCTCTACTTCTACTGTGTTTTTAGATGGGGGCTTGGTTTGATTGGTAGATGGATACAAAATCCTTGCTAATTGTTTTGTTTCCCGCTGGATTTATCTACTCATTAGATTTCAAAACATTTTGTTTGTTTTATAAGCATTGAAAGAGTTCTTAATTTTTCCATATTTTATTCAAATATAATTTAGATTAAAAGCATTTTGGGTATCTTTTTGTTAAGCAGTTGTGTTTTTCATTTTTTGTTTTCATTACAAACCCCAAAATACTTTTGTCCATTAGTTTGCCTTTTGTTTATATTTATATAAAGTTTGCTTGGATTTTATATATGTTGTTGGTTTTTGTCTAGTAAATAGTAGTAGGTTTTACTTGTTTGTTCCTTTTTCCCACTTGTTTGTTGTTGTTGTAGTAGTATTAAATAAGTTTTTTTGAACTTAGTGTAAAATTTCTTTTTTTTTTTAGTAGGGTGTTTTTTCAAAAGTGTTTTGTTGGTTTCATTTTTAGAATTGTTTATTGGTTTTTTTGTTTTTCTTCTCCTTTTTCTTATCTTTTATATTTTATAAACTAATATTAATTAATTAATAATAATGATAATTAATTACATTAAAAAGAGCTTGGTTTGCATTATTTCCATTTTCTGTTTTTGTTTTTTTTTTCCTTCTTTTTCTTTTCATTATATAAACATTTAAAAACTATATTAAAAAGAAATCGCGTGTAAGTGTAGGTGTCGGTGTGTATTGAGTTGTTTTTTTTTTTTTTTTTTTTTTTTTGATTTTTTCAAGAAAAGAATAAAAATTAAATCCTATATAATTTTTTAATAATAATTCCTTTTTATATCGAGTTTTGTTGTTTAAAGCAAAAATTACCGTTGTTTTTTTTTTACTAAATTTTCTAAATAAGAAAAGTAATTTTCAAAAGAACAAAAAAAAATAATCTATGTTAAAAAAAAAAACTGCAGCAGCACTTTACTTCTTCAATATGTTTTGATTTGTTTTTAAATAATTTTAAACTACTACACCATTTTCAAATGTTATACAAAAAAATATATATTTCACTTCAAACTTGTAAATTATCGTGTTAAAAAACAAAGACTTGAATTGAAAGTTATAAAAGTTTTAGATATTGAAGTTGAATTTAAATAATTCAAACGAATATTTCCAGAATATTTTTTTTAATTAAACAATTTTTACAAAGGGATTTTAAAATTGTTTGAATCAAAAATTGGATTTTGGCGTATAGTTTTGTATTCTCACCAAAATAAAATATTTCGATCGTAACGGAAGTCCATGTTCTCAATGAAATAGCTTTGTAAATCCAATTCCTATTCGAGTTTTAAAATGAGTATGCAGCGGTTTGGGTACACTCGGATTTGTTATCCACTCGAAATACAAATAGGGTTTTCTCGATAAAAATTATTACTTGGCTTGGTAATTCATTACAAATCTTAAAAATCGAAGGTTGTTCAAATTTCGAAAATAACAATTGGCCATAAAGATGGTAGCCAGAATTTGAAACCATTTCGATATAAAACAAAATAGCAATGTGGGTTTGTTTAAGTAGATGAAGTTAAAAAGGATTTATTTGCAGTTATCCAATTGAAATCCAAACAGGGTTTCTCGTTAAAAATTAAAATTACTTGGCTTGGACGATATCTCATTTGAAGAATGAATTTGAACTTAAATTTGAGTAATTCGTTACAAATTCACTTGAAACCTCAAAAATCGAAGTTTGTTCAAATTTCCAAAATAACAAGGTAGCCAGAATCCATATTTGAAACCATTTCGATATTAAACAAAATAGCAATATGGGATTTATTAAATAGATGAAGTAAAAAGGATTTATTTTGTTTTGAATATATTTATTTTGAAATATTTGAGTATCGAAATCTAATTTCCATCATATTTCCCGACAAAAGTTCGGCATCACTCTGAGAGGACTTGGAAACCCTGACAAAGAAACTTCTACAGCAAAGTTTGTTGTGTAACATTTAAATTAAACTTCAATTCTCAATAGATGGCCAACTGAACAACAATTACTTGATATTGGGTAGAAGCACTGCAGCAAATCTATTAAAATTGGAGAACATTTTTTTTGTTTAATTTCACAATTTCAAATATTTACTGGCAATCCGTAATTTCCAAAATTCCATAGCAATTTATTTAGATTGAAATTCTATAAATTTTTTATGGAAATTTCCTAAAATTTATAGATTTTCACAACTAAAAAAAAAAAAATGAAATTTTTATCATTTACGTTATTTTTTTACTTTCCTTTACAAAATCACCAAAGAAATTTGTTGAAATAAAAATAGATCTTCACATTTCAATTAAAAAAAAAATAACCGCAGCAGTTTATTGGGAAAAATTTTCGAAATTTTATTTGTGAAATATCGTTTTAGTGTATAACATCTGAAAATGGTGTAGAGAACAAGTATAGAGAATTTGCTTTTGTTTATAGAATATCCTACTAATTATATGTATATATAAGAAAGAAAGAAAAAATATTAACGTCTTATATATTAAATTTTTCTCATATATTATTATTATTATTAATTTTATCCCTTAAAATGTGTGTGTGTTTGTTTGTTTCTATGTAATGTATTACTCTAACTTGGTTCTATACAAGAAAAAAATCATAATAATTATAATAATAAAAAATAAAAATATATATGTTGTTTTCCCTTTTCGATATTTGTTGAAATTATTTATTTTTTTATATAATTAAAAACAAAAAAATAATAATAGTAATAATGAAAACTAAAGCAAAAAAATTCTACTACAGAAAAAAACGCTAATTGCAAATATATTTATATATGTAGGTAGGTAGGTAGATTGGTAGGAGGTGTAATAATGGTTTTAGGCGTTTGTGTTGTATGTGTTTTTGTTTGGATTGCAAATGAAAACTAAACATTATTCCATTAAAAAATTTATTTAGAGAAGACAACTTAATTGTTTTTCTTTTTGGTTATTTTCTTCTTGATTTTTTTTCTTTTAAATAAAACAAAATAAGAAACTTCAATCAATTTTAATTATTAAATATAAAAAAATATGTGTGTGTGTCGTCTGCTTGTGTGTGTATAGAGAAGTAATGGTTGTGGTGGTGGCTATGGTTGTTTGCTGGCTTGTTGTGTGATGGAGTAGGAGAGCTATTGCAGGGGGTATTTTTTCATGTATAATTTTCCAGTTTTTTTTTTTAATTTTTTTCTTTTTTTTATCTTTAAATTAGTTGTTTCTGTTTCTTCTTTTAGTGTTTGTTGTTGTTTTTGTATTTTTCTCCGTTTTTTTTTTTCAGTATTATTTAATATATTTTTATTATATGTATATTTAATATTTATAAGTTTTTGTGTTTTCTGTTGTTTTTTTCCTTCCTTCTTTTTTATATTTATATATAGATGTATGTATAAGAATTATATTATTATTATAAAGTGGTTTAAAGATGATGGCACAAAAGTTCAAATTTTTTGTATTTTCTCGCCAACGACTACCGGATTATTGCGTCTGATCTCTTGGGCTCCGTGCTCCCGATAATCAAATGTGCAGTTGTGCTTATCGCTGTATCGATGGACAGCACAGTAAAGACCACCGCATCGGCAAAGGAAACCTGTTGAAAAAAGGGGTGAAATAATTAATATTAATTAGAATTCTTAAAAAAATTATATAAAAAAAAACATTAAATTAATGTGGATATAAAAAATTAACAACAGTGAAGGCGATATTAAGTCATTAAAAGGACGAAGAAAAATTATTTTTCGTAACAGGACATTCAAACTATCATTGATTGGGGGATGCCGTCAAATGGGGGCCATATAAAAAAATGAAAAATTTGTGTGTTCCACCTCTTAAGATCTCTAAATATTGAACTGGTGGCATTTCAGCTAAAGGGTATGGTCAGGATCTCAAACAAACATAAAATCAGTGGTTACAACCAATGGGGTTTTTTGTCAAAAATTTGAAGAGACGTTGAAAGTTTATCGTGGAGTGTATGCAGGCTGAGATAAAAAACTGCGACAAAGTCAAACGACATCATTTTTACATTTTTCTTTCAAATTTTATTGAAAATAGCATCAAATTTTAGAATAAGTTTACATTTGTTCGAATTGGTAACCTTTGGCACGAAATATGGCCGTCGCCCGCTGCCCGAATGTTGCTTTCCGGTATTTTGCAACATTCTCGGCGAAGCGCTTGTTTACAAACTGCTGGACAACGAATGTTTTCTCATCGGAGAAACTCCCAAATTCGGCAGTTCACCACTTTCGGCCAAGCGAAGTAACTCTTTAGATATTTTCAGTCTATATTCTTTCTGTTGCGATGTAAGTTCTTGCACTTTTAGAATTTTAATGGCTTTACCTCGAGCTCATTTTTCAATATTTACCGAATGGAATATTGCGATATGTTCAGCCCACGAGCCATTTTTCGGCCACTGCGAAGCAGGTTTCTTTCAAGACGCTTCTTTACTTTTCACGCTTGAATTTTTTTTGGAAAATTCTCACCAAAATGCTTTTGTACTCTTGCAAACAATATAATGAGCTGTCACTGGAATAATTTTAACAGCTGTCGGACGAGTGGCTTAGAAATGACAACAGTCTGAAGTTGGTTGCAGTTTTTTCATCTCACCCTGTATATGTGATATCAAATATGGCACCTTTAAGGGAAATTTTGATTCTATTCAAGAGTTGTTTTTAAGACATTAAGTTTTTCAATTTCCTTCCTATATCGGCTTGATAGTACCCTTTGACCTTGGCTAAATGTTCTGAAATGCCTTAAATGGCTATGGAGGAGACCTGCCAGTTCTATTGTAGGAATAGACAATTCCTCTGGCCTACCCATAGCCTCTCTTTCTTGAAATATATTATCTCTATATAGTGTTCTCTTCTGCAATTTTTAAGGATAGAAAAAAATCGGCATTTCCAAGTTTTTGTTATTAGGAAACAGCAGCTACAAATTCTTATAGATATTCTCCACATTGAGTTCTATATAGAGACGATATATGGTCATTTTCAGAAGATGGGGATACTTTCTTTAACTGCTTCTTGATTTTATTAAAAAAAATATTAAAAAAGAAAGAATTTTTCCATGATGCTATTAAACCTTCTTCCTTTTATCTATTTAATTTAGATTCCTCAGAAATGTCTCTTCGTCTTTCTTCATATTCAATTTTTCATATCCAATAGTTGTTGAATTGTTATATCCGGATCTCTACAATACTGGTAATACGTACCTGTCAAGCCCACTTTCTTGCGACATTCGGAGCAACGGTTCTTTTTCTTTTTAGAATCTTTGTCATCTTCCTTGTCTTTATCTTCTTCGGCTGGTTCGGTGGAAGTTGATGGACCGGCGGATGCGGCTGTTTCGCTGCTAGTTTTGGCTGAATTTTCTTCATTTATTTTCTGCAACAAAAAAGAAAATGAAATTTTTGATAAAAATTGTATATACAAGAAAAAGAAAGATTATAGGAATATATCCCTTCCTAGGGATAAAAGCATCTGTTCTGGGTTTTCTAGAAGTCATAAATTGCAAGGCAATGAAAATCCGATTTGTATTGGTATTACCTTTATATAAAACAAATCAGAAACAATAGATTAATAAAAGGTTTAATTTTTAATACTATTCATATTATATCAATTAATATTTTTCCTTATAAATATCCCAGGTTTATACATTTGTGGCCATATTGGTTTTGTATTATAAATGGAAGATTAATAAATTCAGTTGCCATTGATTGGTATTGTAAGAAAATCTTTCCTACGCTTCATTTTCGAATCTATAAGATGCAATTCATGCAACAATATTGTAAAAAAATTAACCTTAAATTCCTTTTCGATTTCATTGAAAAATTGTCCAAGGCTTCTATAATGAATGAATCACTGGGCAATTAAATGGTAATAAATACTATCAACAAAAAATATGACAAGCTATACCTCATCAACCCTTCTCCCGCTGCTGTCTTGTCCACATGCTGCCCTTTTTTGACCATTAGAAGAATCCATTGAAACGAAATACACAAACTGTTTTAAAGAAATTCTTTCATCATCATCATCGTCGTCGTCGTCGTCGCCACCAAACAAAGAAAGAAAACGGCGAAGAACCACTTTTCAACATTGAGGGACAAGAACAAAAATCATCACAAGTCACGAGTTATTTACAAAACAAATGGACGACAGACAACATGGGTGCTTTTTTCTGGCGGTGCCAACAAAATTGAAAGAAAGGCAGAATGTACATATTTTTTTTAAATGTAAATTAAATTGGCATCAGAGCAGAAGCTGTAGTTTGAATAAAAACAAACGCACGATTTTCAAAAAGAAATAAAGGCAAAAAAAAAACGAAAAGAAGAAATCAAACAGAAGCTAATTTTGATTTGTTAATCAATTTAAAAAAAATATTTTTTGTTTGAAAGCGACAAAGATATTGGAATAACAATGAGCAGAACAAAGTTTATTCAAAATTTGAAAAACAAAAGCTTTGAAAACATCTGAGAAGATAAAATGTTTAAAAAATGGTTATAGGAATAATATGAACAGGGTGAGAAGGAAATAACTGCAACCAACTTCAGACTGCTGTCATTTCTAAGCCACTCATCCGACAGCTGTTAAAATTATTCCAGTGACAGCTCATTTATATTGTTTACATGAGTACAAAATCATTTCGGTGAGAATTTTCCAAAAAAAAAAGTGTGTGGTTTTTATATTTGAATAAATTTTTTGTGCCTCGTACCAACGCTCGTTGTTTTAAGTTTTAGGGAAATATTTTTGAAGTTCGAAATTGTTATTTCAATTGGGAATCACAAACGAAATGCTACCCTTAATAGGATATCCATTTTATGACTAAGGAGGAGCTTGAAACGAAATAATAATCTAAATACCAATTACCCTTTTTCGCGAAGATGAAGGTTGTTCGTTTTCATTTTCCAAACTCCCTTTTTGAAGGGAGTAATTTGCAATTGCCCCCTTTGCTAAAGATGAAGCGGCTTTAATATCCTTTTCTTGTTCGACATTTGTTTCCCTAGATTCCTTATCTTTCGTTTTCTTAACCTTTTTCGTTGCATCATTGCTTTTATTTGATTTCTTTTTGCCAACCATGCTGTCAAAAGCAACACTACGCAAATGTACACGGGGTTGAGTTTGTAAAACGGGTGATGTTATCAAACTATTATCTTCGAACTGTTGGCTGTAGATATTAAAATTAGTTGTAAATTCTCGTAACAAATGCTTTGGCACGTTTATGGGTTTTATGGCTTTGTTTTCCAAATCAAGGGGGAGTCGTTTTAAAGATGTACTAGCGGCAGTAGCAGAATTTGTGGCTTCTGTTACTTCGTCCCCAGATATGTTGTTATTACTTGTTATAACTCTCGTGTGAGGTTTTGTGAAAAAGTTATATTTCCTTTTAAAAATTGATTTCGATTTGTTTGAATTTTGTGGATCAGATGATGGCTGATGATCATCGGCGGCATTCGCAATAGTTTCTGTTGCAGTATTTTCAATTTGATTACTCCTTGGACTGGAATTTTTGTGGATCAAGTTTGAAATATTATTTCCGTTTGAATTTCTGTTTGGTCTTTTAACGGTCACCACTTCAATATTATCGCTGGGCCTCTGACCCTTGGGAGGAGTAGATAGAATTTTTGCCGCCTTCACAGCCAAAGAGGGATCTAATTTTCGATTGGAATTGAGAAAATATTTAATCTTCAAATTCACTCGCTTGCTTTTTTCTTTTCCAATTGAACTGGAACAAGAGGAGTCCGCAGATGATTTTAAAATCTTTTGCAATTTTTCTTTTAAATTCTTTGAGGATGATGGTTGTTGCTGTTCTGCTTCTTGCGAATTAGTTACTGGTGGTGAGATATTTGTTTGCTCTGAATCATTATTTGCCATAATCAATGATGATACCGAAAAGGGAAGATAGATCTAGGCGAAACTTAATTCCCAAAAAAAAATAGTTGGTTTTTGGAATTTTGAAGTAGAAGAAATTTGTTAAAAAATACTGACAGTATTGACTTAAAAGACAAAGCCAAGGGACATGACAAATTTCGGAGGGGCCTGTGTCTTGGAAGGTACAATGAGAATTGAGATATGGCCTTGGAATTTAAGGAATAATTTTGGAAGACTAAATCTTTAAAGAAATATTTAAAAAAACGAGGAATTATATGATATTGTTCTAAAATACTTCTTTGAAGATGAAACCGATTCAAATTCGCTGACTTCCAAGGCCATTTTGGAAGAGAAGCAAACGAGTATTTTTTAAAGACTATTTTTTGAAGACATATCAATTTAAAACACGTATTTTTAGGGATTTTTTTTTTCCAGGACTAAGCTGCAGAAAGCTTACAGAAGTTTATAGCAATTTTTTTAAAGTTGTTTAAAGCTAAAGAGCGTCTCTTAAATTATAGTGTCAGGATTATGTTTTGAAGGGGTATTAGGTTTTAATACGTACAGAATATTTTTGGTGTCGTATGTTGCTTCCATCGTTTTTGAGGAAGTAGTTCTTAAAGAGAGTTCAAGATTAAACCGTAGCTTTTTAAGAAATATGTATTCTTAAAGAGCGTTTAGGGTTAAACTATGTCTCTTTATAGAATATTTTAAAAACAGTGAATTTCTTAAATGATACCTTTTTTAAAAAAAGAGGTCGAGCTAAACCATTACCGTTTTTATACCCTCCACCATAGTATGGAGGGTACATTAAGTTTGTCATTCCGTTTGTAACACCTCGACATATACATTTTAGACCCCACAAAGTATATATATTCTTGATGATCAGCATAAAATTTTATATCCATTTTGCGATGTCCGTCCGTCTGTGGAAATCACTCTAACTTTCGAACGAAATGAAATAGGTTGATAAAATTTTACTCAAATGTATATTATATCTGCAGGACTTTTGGTATTGAAAATAGGCCATGTACGTCCACGTTTTGTTATAGCCCCCATATAAAGGTACCTCCCAATATTCAATACTTTGATGATTTTAGCGACATTATTCACCGGAATTATTTCAAATTTGGTTTTTGAATTTCGTAATGGATACTACAGCCTATGACAGAAAACTGTCTGTGCAGGACCACGCCTTCGTATAGCCCCCATATAACGGTACCTCGCGATTTATGATGATTTTAGCGACATTATTCACCGATTTTTTTTAAGTTTCGCATTTGAATATTGTAATAGCTTATGACAAAAGCTGCCTATGCAGGTCCACGTCGTCGTATATATCCTAATACAGTGGCAACATTCGGTTATTTTTAAGATTTTAAAAGGATTTTTAACGGATTTTATTTTTGAGAAAATTGCCAAATTCGTTAAAATGGTGAAGGGTATTTAAAGTTCGGCCCTGCCAAAATTACAGCTTTTTTACTTGTTGTAATCTAAATCGCGTTTACATGGAAATTTCTGTGATATATTTAAAGATGTTTGGGTATAAAGCGTGGAGATTTTAGGGAAAACTTATTGAAGGTTTTTCAGGTCCATGTTTTTTTTTTAATGAGAAGTCATATCTTAGCCTGCATTTTGTAGTTATATATTTGAAAAGAATAAATAATTAAATTTTTAACCAGTCTTTAGGGCTACGCCTCCGACTTCTAAGGAACATTTTGGAAGAGTGTTCTAATTTTGTTAGGGGGATTTTTTAAGTTGACTTTTTAAAAGGATATTTTTAAAATGCGGGAAATGGAAATTTCTGTGATATATTTAAAGATGTTTGGGTATAAAGCGTGGAGATTTTAGGGAAAATTTATTGAAGGTTTTTCAGGTCCATGTTTTTTTTTTAATGAGATGTCATATCTTAACCTGCATTTTGTAGTTATATATTTGAAAAGAATAAATAATTAAATTTTTAACCAGTCTTTAGGGCTACGCCTCCGACTTCTAAGGAACATTTTGGAAGAGTGTTCTAATTTTGTTAGGGGGATTTTTTAAGTTGACTTTTTAAAAGTATATTTTTAAAATGCGGGTTTTAAAAAGATACTTTAAAAGTTTAAAAGGAACCACAAGCATAGATTTTGGAAAAGTATTTTAAATAGTTTAACGGGTCAGTTTTCTGTGGGATATTTTTAAGGGTAAACCGTTAAGTCTTCAAGTGCAAATTGTTTCAGACTAAACTATATTTTTAAATTATAATATCTAAAGTCCTGTATTCTAAAAAAAGATATCTATCTTGTCTTATCCGACGCAGAAATCGTGAATTCATATTGAGACCCTTCGACACTACTTACATCTTTAATTTCATTGTGTTGCTGTTGTAAACTCTGTACTGTTGGCTGTGCGGCTGAAGGTATTGTAATGGCTGGACTAAATGTGGGACTTGGTTGTGGGCTTGGAACTGATACGGGAGTGCTGCCAACAGGTGGTTGTTGCTTTTTTCTTAAGGAGTCCTACAAAAAAGAAGAGAAATATTAGTAAAAAAAAATAAAACAATATCACCAGCATAATTGAAATTGAAAATTACATTACCTTGTAACAAACTGAGCACAAACCATCTGTGGCTGGATTGCCATAGAAGCCGCAACCGGAGCGGCACATAGGTTGCATCGGATTTGATTCACGTTCCATTGCTTTGTTTTGGTTTTGGTGTGTTGTGGTGGTTGCAGTTGCTGTTGTTATTTACGCTGCTGATATATTTTTTTTTGTTTTGTTAATTTAGTTAAATTGCAGTAATTCTTCGCCCAGCGAAATTCTTATTGCGGTTAAAAAGGTAATTTGTTGTTTCTAATTTTGTTGTTGTTGTTGAGTTAGTGATGTGAACTTTTTGCTTCTTCTTCTTCTTCTTGTTTTTCTTTTATAATAAAAATTCTATATATATATTTTCTTCACGTGAGGAGGGTAGTAGTGGTTGCTTGGTTGGCGTAAGAGATCAAAAAACTTGGCGTGATACAATTGTTGGATATTGCAAAAAAGTGTAGAAGAGCAAGAATGGGTCCCAGCTGTTTGTCTTTTTCAGTGTTTTGTTTTGTTTTAATTTAATTTTGGATTGTATTTACTTTGAGGAATTTTGTCGTTTTTCTAGCTCAATTCAATTTATAAAAAATATGTATGAACTAAACGTCGTTTTGTATATGTTTTGTGTTCCCTTTTTTGGTTTAATCAATCCAAAACAAATAATAATGCAAATTTATATTCTTGAGTACCGCTGGGTTCTGTTCTTTTGCTTTGTTTTCTGCTGCTGTTCTTTTTGTTGTTGCTTTCAATTTCAAAATCTCTATGCCTTTCTCAATTTCCTCCTAACTGTTGTATCAGCTAATTTCCATAAAGTAATGCTCGCTTCGATGCTCCAAGGAATGAATGTCACTCCTCAAGTTGGACAAAAACACAAAAATGGTAATGCTGTTGCTGCTGCGACGTATGCGACAGATGTTTGTCGGTTGGCTGACTTGTTGGTGCTTTTGTTGCTGATGATCAATCAATCAAACCTGAATGAAAAGGAAAATTGAAAGAGAAAACAAATTATTAGTTATGAGAACAATGTATATAAGAAGGAAATGGAAAATTATTATTTTTTACAAGGTGCTGATAGAATAGATATTTAGATATTTTCGAATCGATATTTGAATAGATTTTTAGAGGTATATTTTTGGAGCTTCCCAAAGCTCCCACAATGGATTTTTAAAGAAGTACTTTCTGGGGAGTCGCTAAAGTGATAATCGTGAAACAATTTGGGATTATCCTAAAATAAAAACATGCATTTTCAACGTGTACTTGGCCTCATCAGATTGGCAGGCGTGTATTTTAGAGGAATTTATTTGAAGTATTTCCAAAATTTAAGTTTTTAAGGGTCATAATCGTGTGTCTTAGGGAAAATATTTTGAGGCCTTACTAGAGATATAAATGTTGCTTCAAAGATATATTTTTTGAAACGTTGCCAGAGCTTTATTCGTGTGTTTTGGAAAATATTTTCTTTCTTGGGGCTATATTCCAGGATTTTAAAGCCTATCGCGAGTTATTTTCGTGGTTTTGTAAACTTTGTATTTTAAATCCTCGCTAGAACTTAATTAATAGAATTTAAGATATACATTTTTTTGAAGTTCTACCAGATTGAAAATCGAGAATCTTTAAGGTTGATTTTTGATTGATTGAAGGCCATAATTGGTGCCAAAGGTGACCAATTCGAACAAATCGAAACTTATTATAAAATTTGATGCTATTTTCTATATTTTTTGCTTTCATTCAATAAAATTTAACAAAAAAATATATAAAAATTATGGCGCTTGACTTTGTTGCAGTTTTTTTATCTCACACTGTATATATTTAAGGATTTCGAAACTATATAATTTTGGATTTTAGGGACATATTTTTGAAGCCTTTTTATAGTTTTTAAGGAATATTTCCGTAACTATTCTCGTGGATTTTTATATTTTTTTTTTTTTAAGTTTGGAACTCTAATGGATTTTTTTCGAAGAGATAGAGAGATAATTTTGTGGGTTTTAAGGGCTTGGTTCAGAGCCAAATTCATGGATCTTTTAAGAAAGATATTTTAAAGGCTTGCCAGAGTTATTTTGTAAAGAATTGCTCATCGGAGCAATGATCTCCTATTTTTAAGACTGATGTTGTCATTGCTATTTTCTTGCATTTATTAATGAATATAATTTGAAGCTTTACGAAAACTGTAGTCGATTTTGCTATGGAATAATTTTGCAAGTTTATCAGACTGAAAACCGAGAATTTTTAAAGATAAATCATGGATTTCAGAAAATACTTTTGAAGCTTCGCCCTATGGACTTTAGGGGATATTTTTTAAAGAGCTATTCTCCCAGATTTATAATCGTGGTTTTGAAAGTATTGATTGAACGAATCGTAAACAGATCTATAATCCCAAACTTTAGAGGAATACTTAAGTGATACAGTAGATATAATCCTGTATTTTTAAGGAATATTTCATTAAAACTCTTGAAGCCGCCTTTAGTTATGTCCAACACTGTATGCCCTGACAAAGAAGCTACTACCCACCTTGCTTGTTATTATTAATTTTCATATTATTTACGATATTGTGTAACATATGTAAATGAGAGCGTGTGTGTATGTATGCGCGTGTAATTTGGCCTTTTGATGTTTTCCATTTTGTAAAACTTACAACCAACGCCAACGCCAACAACACAGACACAAAGAGAGCAACCCATCAATCAAGTGTGTGTGTGGGGAAAATTAATAAAGAATATCGTAATGATATCGATTTAAATGAACGTACGTTTCCCCTCCAAATGAGTGGTGAATAAAATAAAGAAGCGCAAACAAGCAGCCTTCGTCTTCGTTAAACAAAAAAATCCAATTCTCGACAATTTAGAAAATGTCGTCGTGGTTTGGAGAGTTAGAAAGAGATGGAAAACAAAACTACGCAGGTCTGTGAAGAATATTAGAAGAGAAAAACAATAAAACAAAGAGTAAATGGTTGAGTTCAACAGAAATGGGAAATTGTTTGTTTGCAGCACTAGTCGAAATATGGACATTTATCTCACAATCCCCCTGAAAAATCTGAGATTGAAGCAATTTTGAAGCTAAATGCGAAGAACATAAAAGTTTAACCCGACCCATTATGAATCGGGAAGAATACTTGGAAATTTTAAATGAAATGATGGGGAGATATATATGGGGGCACACAGTTCTGGCCTTTTTATAATTGCGAAGATGGAAAGTACCCAAAGGGCCCTGACAGAAAACTAGCTATTAAGAAGGTAAGGTAATATTAAAAAAAACAATTGAAAATCTGTAATTTCGGTCTGGCCGAAAAAAAGCTGCAATTTTGGGCCATTTGGAAAGAACTTGGCAATTTCCAAAAACAATAAAATCCTTTAAAAATACTGTTATTTTAGGGTCTATACAACGACGTGAACCTGCATAGGCAACTGTTGACATAAGTCATTACAATATTCAAATGCGAAACTTGAAAACATCGGCGAGTAATGTAGCTCAAATCATTTAAATACCGAATATCGGGAAATACCGTTCTATGGGGGCTATACAAAGATGTGGACCTGCACAAACCATTTTCTGTCTTAGGCTGTAGTATCTATTACGAACATAGAATACCAAATGCGAAAAAATCGGTGAATAATGTAGCTAAATAATCAAAATATCGAATATCAGGAGATACCGTTATATGGGGGCTATACGAAGACGTGGACCTGCACAGGCAATTTTCCGTCTTAGGCTTCAAATAAGACATCTCAAGCAATTTCGGTGAATAATATCGCTTAAAACTTCAAAATACCGAATATCGGAAGTTACCGTTTTATGAGGGCTATACGAAAACGTGGTTCTGTGCTGACAATTTTCTGTCAGAGGCTGTAGTATCCATTACGAACTTCAAATACAAAATTTGAAACAATTCCGGTGAATAATGTAGTTAAAATCATCAAAATACCGAAAATAGGGAGATACCATTATATGGGGGATATACCAAAACGAGGGGGATATACCGACATGGCCCATTTTCAATACCAAAAATCCTGCAGACATAATATACATTTGAGCAAAATTTTATCAACCTACTTCATTTCATTGATTGCCACAGACTGATAGACGAGTGGACATCGGTAAATCGACATCGAATTGTATGCTGATCAAGAATACATATACTTTGTGGGATCTAAAATGTATAATTCGAGGTGTTACAAACGGAATGACAAACTTAATATACCCTCCTCCATACTATGGTGGAGGGCATAAAAATTGACCACTCGCGCACAGATCGTTCGAAATTTTTCGAAAATTTTCCCTAACAGCTTCCGTAAGTATAAACTAAATTATTATTTATACTAAAATGCGTTGCATAAAAATTGTACCTCTCATCACCGTTAAAGCTAAGAAATTAAGTAATATCACAGGCAGGAATTATTTCCCTCTCTTTCTTAGACTGACTTGTTAAATGGAGCCAACATACCCACAATTTGGGGGCAGCTGGCTGGCATTATATTCTCAAAGGTATTTTTGTGATTTGATTTGATTTCTCACTGTCACTCATTAAAGTCTCATAAAATGAATACCTTTTTTAATACCCACCACACCTATACCCCTCCCAGAGAGCTCTTTGTGGAAAAACAAACCACACAATTTGTCAACACCACCATCACCTCCTCCGCCGAGTTCACCTCCTTCTGGTTTAGTTAGTTGTCATCTGTTATTTATTAAATTTTCTCTCATTTTATCTAAGGCGGAATCCATATAATAAATGATGGTTGGGAACGAGAGGGGTGGGGAGGCCTTTCACGACATTTAAATAAAGGAACGGCAGTCTCGGTCTACGTCATTATGAATTAAAAAATATATGTTAATTTAACAACAGCAATAATAATAGCAACAACACACACACAGTCGCAAGTAATAACAATAATAATCAAAAATAATACGAGACTAATAGCAACAGCAACAACACAGATAGATAGATACCCGACGACGACCACTTTAACGAGATGGAGAGAAAAAATGAACGAAACGACAAAAAAAACTGCACTGTTGTTAGGAATAATAACAAATGATAATGACAGTATTATTTTGTATTGAGAAGAGTTGCCAGATGGTTTTTAAGAGATTAAGAAAAAATCGCCAGAAAGTATTAAGGATTTTAAAGATTCAATGATGGATTTTAAATTAAGTTTTTCAAAGACCGATGACTCATTTTATTGAGTTAGAAAAAAGTAAGGAAAGAATTGAAAAAAAGTGCGCCTTTGTTAAGAACAATTACAGGTATAATTTCGGTTTGGGAGCCGAGTTGCAAGATAATTTTACAATGTTATAACATGGATTCGAAAGTGGTTCTAAAGGACTGAAGGGATCACTTTCTTATATTTTTAGTTTTTAATTTTTTTTCGAAAGATTATTAACCATGGATTTTTTTAAGAATTTATATAAACGGGGTTTGAACTTTTTAGTTTTTTTTTTTCGATAATTTATTTTTTGAGTTATTATACCCTCCACCGGGTTATTATACCCTCCACAGGGTATATTAGCTTTGTCATTCCGTTTGTAACTCCTCGAAATATTCATAATAGACCCTACAAAGTACGTATATTCTGGATCAGAGTAAAATTCTAAGACGATCTAGCGATGTCCGTCTGTCTGTCCGTCTGTTGTTATTACGCTATCTTTCGAACAAATTGAGATAGAAGGCTAAAAATTTGCATACATGCAAAGTTTACCAGTAGGCAGGTTAAGTTCGTAAATGGGCCATGTCGGTCCACGTTTTCGTATAGCCCCCATATAACAGTACCATCCGATATTCGGTATTTTGATAATTTCAGCGACATTATTCTCCGGCATTGTTTCAAATTTGGTATTTGAAGTTCGAAATGAATACTACAGCTTAAGGCAGAAAATTGTCTATGCAGGTCCACGTCTTCGTATACCCCCATATAATCGTACCTCCCGATATTCTGCATTATTTATCGGAATTATTTCAAATTTCGCATTTGAAGTTCGT